AAGATAATTTGTAATATCCTAATGTTTTTTTTTTATAGAATGATTTAATTAAATTATATTTTTTATAATATTTTCTAGAGCTCATTAGAAACTCGGATAAAAAGTCTTGAGTTCTATGATATTTTGTTTTTTTAATGGTGTTTTCTTATTCATTTATCAATAAAAGGGAGATATCAATACTACAACTGAGCATAATGAACAAACCAACAATGAAAGTTCAGTAAGTATATTTAGCCTAAGATTATCTCATTTTTACATGTATTAAAATTTATTTTAATTTAATATGAATCTTATTTATATATACTAAATTTTTAGGACCTAGGAAGCACTTTGGCTTTAGAAACTTCAGATTTGGCTTCAGAAGCTTCAGATTTTTTGATTCGATTTCAGAAGTAAACAGCCTGGTGAGTAAAAAAATATATATAATTTACTAATTAACCCAAAAATTAATTATTTAGTAACTATTCAATTTTGATATAAAGTCATATAAAAAACTTATAATACTTAAGATTAACTTTTTTTAATAATCACAAAAAGAATGAATCTTCTAAAAAAAAGAAAAATGTGCTATTGTTGAAGCAAAAGAATCTAATATTCATGAAAAGAATGAAAGAAAAGAATTAAGTATGTGAATACATACATACTGAATATATATTTTTTTATATTAAATTTTTTTCAAACCATCAACTTATAAATTCACTATAATGCAATCAGGTTATATTAATTTATTAAAGAAAAAAAGAAAAGAAAAGAGAATGCCCAAAACTTTTGTGTCTCAAGACCCAACAAAAATATTTGAAATGTACTTTTAGCCTGTCAACAGATATTTCAATGAAGCCTCAATATCATCATTAGAACCAGAACCATTGCCAATGCTAATAGAAGATGTTAATAGTTGTGCTGCTTATCTTCGAATTTGGGATTCTCATTATGATTATTGTATAAGAGAAATCGGAAACCAGGATTACAAAATGGTAAAACTTATTTATTCATTATCTGAAGTTTTTTCAACATGTTAAAGATTTGTCATCAAGAACAAGATAATGAAAAAGTGTTAGAGAAAAATACAGGTTATTGGA